AATAGGTCTTATATTTAAGACTAAAAACTAACTCAATAATTAGTTGAAGCGGAAGAGTATTTATTACTGCAAAGGAAGGGAGATGAGATTGATTAGATGGCGTGCCGCGTGCACGAGTGAGGAGGAAAAGGCCAATGGCCTCTGGGATTAGATGTCGCCGTATCTCTTGTAAAATCCTATATATGCGATCCTCAAACCCCGCACTCCGGCCCTCCGTTGATGATGCCGGTGATGATTCCGTACCCAGCAAGTCGACCCGCCCGCCGCTTGTCAGCGACGGCGGTCCCCATCCCCATGACGACGTCGACATCCAGGACCACAGTGCACCACTGCCACCAGGTCGTGGTTGTTCAGCAGGTCCACTCCTATGGCTCTTCCGTACCGTCCGTAGTCGAAGTTCCTATCATCATTCACTCATCCCGCATCAGCGTATATCAGATAAGCTAAAACTATGCAGACTGATCACATATCTTCTCTATCATATGTACCGGCAGATTTGGATGGGTTCGCGGCCATAGTATTGCTTGCCAGGAGCACATGGATATTGGGTGCTGGGATCACATAAAATGGTGCTCGGGTGCCCCACGAGTATGTTTGGCCGAGGAAAGCCGCGATCTCCTTCTTGCGGGGAAAGACTTGGCGGCTTGAATGAAGCCATCGTAGGTGTAGAAGCCTCTGGCAGTGTCATTGCGGTGCTTGAGCATCTGGTTGAAGGTGTCCCTGGAGATGATGGCGCTGACACAACCGGCGGGAGGGACACCGCCGCTGCCGCCACATTGGCTTTGTCAAGTAGCAGAACTGTAGTAGTCAAATGTAGAACCACACCAACCGAATTGGCTGCAGCATAAACCCCCGGGGCATAAGGCACCTCCTGCTTGTCTTCCGAACTGCTCTTCTAACCCTCCCGCTATGAATTGAGCAGCACCCACAAGACTGACCACATTTTTTAATCTTTTATCTCTTGGGATTTGACCTCCTTTATATTTATAGTTACATAGAGGAAAGATTGCTAACTTATTGGCTTGGATATATATTCCAAGGGTAACGTGAGGCACTGTGGGGCCTGCGGCGGCTGCGGGTTAATTCAACACCCACATATCTTCGCCCTGATGCCGGATCTTCCCTGCTGCGTTTTAATTAGTTAGCTGTATTTTACACTTCACAGCATATAATTAAGAACAACATGCGGAAACACAAAAGAGAAGACGTAGACATACGTATGCACTCGTAGTTTTGGAGCAGGAAAGCTTTTTTTCTTTTGGGTAAAAAGAAAAGCATTATTCAAGGCAAGCCAACACCAGGATCAATAATTAAGTTAGCGGACTATGGAGCACTTAGATTAACTAGTAAGAAACTAAGAATTATTTCAGTTTGACTAAAAGTCATGGGTTTGATCTTTTGAGGGTGATAGGGTCGCCGCTTATATAGGTTCTATTGTGGTCGGATCTGAATTACTTTAGTTTGTAATTTCCTAAAAAAGTTAGTCAAGATTTGAAAATTAATAATAATAATAATTAATAAAGCTGGTGGCGTGCGGATAGGAGGAAAGCCCCACAGTGTACGGCATTGAAGCGGTAAAAGATAAGACTGAACCAATTTTCCAAGTCTCCTCAATCCTGCCCCAACAACGTTTGACTTCCTACCGCTGATGACAAGCGCATCGTCGTTTTGTTCCAAAATCAATGTCATTTTGTTGATCAAAGGCATGAAAAGGCTACCCATAATTTAAAACGGTCCCTAACCTGGCTTCAAGTTTTCGGGGCTATTTCCAAATTTTTTTTTTTTATGAAATGAGTTCATTCCCGTTGTTTTCATCTAATTTTTTTTAATCAAAATGCTATATAAATTAATTATCAAACTTTAAAATATATAGAATGATTAGTTTACTTTAACTGTGTTAACAGTTTTATTTATATGTAATAACAATAAATTCATCTGCGGCCAAAAAAAAGCTTCATCTATAATAACTACTACTCTAAAAATTAGCTTTTAGATTATCAGAATACATTTCTTTTGACCAAATCAGAATACATTTTTTGATAATATCATATAATACATTTTGCAATATATTTATACCTTTTCTACCATACTAGGGAAGATGGACAAGAATAAATGTTGCGGGGTAAATTTTCTCTTTTGCCAAAGTCTTGTTCACCAATAAATGAACACTACTATTCAATCTCTCTATTATTAGATTTCAAAATATCTAACATGATTTTTTTTTGGCCAAAATAATGCGATTTTAATTGATGGTCAGTTTTTTGTCCTTTTCCTTTTTGCCCCTGTCAAATGTTACTGTATCAAAATGCTCAGTCTTGTCTAGTTGTCTCCTTATTTATTTTCCCTGTCGCTATACTAATGACTCCTCTGCTCCGTTATGAAAGAGCTATATATTTATCTAATTTGGGGACTGAAAAATCTAAAATATATTATTTAATTATAATGAAACTCACAAGATTTTCATAAAATATACATAATATCCTTATAAAGATACTTAAATTTTATATTAAGTACCGTAGATAGTATTTTTTTTTATTTGAATACAAATTCAAGATGGTACCCACTAGCTAGCTTCCAAAGATCAACCGTGAAAAAGTGTCTTTGGCCAGAAAAAACCGTGAAAAAGTGCCATTATTACATGCATGAACTTGAAAGGAACTAGTTTTAGTATTTCGTTGTGAGGATGAAATATATACAATTCATATATAATTTTAATGGTCTAAATTTAAAATTTTTAAATTAAAATATTTTTTACAAAAATTTACAGTTAAGAATTTAAATTTATTTTGGATCATGAAGAATAAATTTGTAAATAAAAAAAATTAAAAAATTTAAATTTGACTTGCATATATTAAATTTGAATTATTTGGCTTCAGTCCCCCAAACTGGTCCTTACCTTTTAAAATACTTTGAAGGAAAATAATATATAAAGAAGCTGAAAATATAATATTGTGAATCAGCTATTTAAGAATTAAAAATAACATAAAAGAAAATAATAACTGATATGATATTTTGTAAATATAGTTAAATGATTAAAGAATCGTTGTATCATATTTGAAAAAAGCTATTAAACTTACTATTATTAGTATATTTTTTGTTATTTATTATTTAATATTTGTTATTATCAGTTTAAAATTTGTTAATAAACTGGACATTTTGATCATCTAATTATATTTATAAAATATTAAATTAGACATTGTTTTTAATATTATTTTCAACTCCTGAACGAGAAAATGGTAATTTTTTATATATATATTTTTAGAATTTTCCCTTCTTTGAATTTTTGACTGTGTATAAATTTTGATGCCCCAATGATAGGTGCTCGGCCTTTGCTTTCTTTCTCGAATCTCGACAATACATAGGCCTTTTCTAGTCAAAACTAAGGTGTGCGGTGGGTTGGAGAGAGATTGAAAAATGAAAATGGTAAAGCATGGTGGGAAGAGATGATTTTATTTTTATTGAACAAGTAGAGAAGGGCAGAGTGATACACGAGAGATCAGTAAGACTGAGGTGTCATCATCTAGATGACGTCGATGAGCGAGGAAGAGCCGAATGGCCTCTGGGAATAGCAGTCGAGGTTGGAGCCATAGCCGACACCCAGTATATCGCAGTATCTCTTGTAAAATCCAATGCGATCCGCCACCCTCGAGTCCTGGCCCCTCCCGCACTCCAGCCCTCCGTTGATGATGTTGGTGATGGTTCCGTACCCTGGAAGCCGACCCGCCGCCGTGTCAGCGCCGGAGGGTGTCCATCTCCCCGTAATGACGTCGTGGCACGATGGCTTCGGCGACTGCGCTGTCATCCAGAACCACAGAGCTGTCTTGAAGGATATCACAGCATTACTAGCCACCAGGTCCGGGTTGTTGAGCAAGTCCGCTCCTATCGCACTTCCGCATGGCCCGTAGTTGTAGTTCCTGTCATTCACTCATCCCTAACCCATCAGCACATGTCAAATAAGTTACAATTATGCACAAATATGTTCTGTTTGTACCAGGAGAGTTGGATGGGTCCGCGGCCGTAGTATTGCTTGCCGGCAGCACATGGATACTGAGTGCTGGGGGCACAGTAACTGCTCGCCGGATTCTGTTCCTGGTTGAAACAGTAACCCCACGCGTAAGGACCGTCGGGAGCGCTGGCCCAACCGCCGGTGGTCTCGTGGGAAGTTTGACCGAGGAAAGCCGCGATCTCCCTCTTGCGCGTGGCAACATCGCCGGTGCTTCCGAAGGCGGGGAAAGACTTGGCGGCTTCAATGAAGGCATCGTAGGTGTAGAAGCCTCTGGCAGGGCAGGCAGCGTCATTGCGGTGCTTGAGCATCTGGTTGAAGGTGTCACCGGAGATGATGTCGGAGAGGCCACCGGAGGGAGGGGCGGTGCCACATTGGCTTTGGCAGCCAGTGCCGCAGTATTCATTTGTGGAACCGCACCAACCATATTGGCTGCAGCAGAGGCCGCCGGGGCACAAGGCACCCCCTGCTTGTCTTCCGCACTGCTCTGCGGCTGACCCTCCCACCAGGAACCACACCAGCACACACAAGACCGCCCACATGGTGTTAATGTTATCCATTTGATGCGGAGAATCGAGGGATGATGGCTCCCTTATAAAGGAAGGGGGTGGATCGAGAGGAAAGCGGGCAGACGTACGTGGACCCTCGACACGTCGACGTGCCTCTTGAGCGGAACAATTTCATCAAACTCATCAATCCGAATTGTTTATATTTTATTTAAATAGTTGGGATTTAATTTGTTATTTTTATTTATTTAAAATAATTATTTTAATATATATAAATTTTAAATAAAAAATCATTTTTATTTATTATTCTTTTAAAAAATATTTTTTTATTTAAAAATAATTAATTATAAACTATAAATTTGGATCGTTCAAGTCAAATATAAATAATTCAGACGTGCTTATTTTCATCAGCACTGATTACTTCTTCAATGACGATGCCTTGGAATCTCTGCTCCCCAAAAGCAGCAGGGAAGGCGAGCATTATAACGTGGGGGATGAGTACTGCAACTGATCACCCCTTCATTATAATGTGGGGCCTACGGCGGCTGAGCAGACTTGTCGGCATTGCCTTAATGAATGAATGTAGTCAAGGGGTTAATTAATTATTCACCCCCACATCGCCCTTATCTCCTTGGATCTTCTCTCCCCTTTCAAGTAGTAATTAATAACTATAACCCACACTCACCGCCACCGGAGATGCTACCCCAAGCATAACCCACACTCTTGTGCTTGTATAATAATAAGAGTAAATTAAAATTTTAATTTATTTTTAAATATAAATATAGATTTCAGTTTATTTCATTTTTAATATTTTTTATTTTACTTCTAAATAATTTCTACAATGATTATACATGTTAAGAAATTTTTATCAATAGATATTTCAATACATATTAATAATAATATTTTAAGAAATATAACACTCATTTATTATAAATAACTAATTTAATTAATTTTTTTAATATTTATAAATTAATTATATAGCTGTTATATCAAGAATCAGAGGTAGTATATGCTTATATACATGTTTGAAAGTATTTTTTCTTTATATATATTTAGAGGGTATTTAGATAGAAACTAAATAACAATTTTAAAAATAATTTTATAACATATGAAATAAATATGTAAAAAAAATTATCTCTATTTATATAAAAATATTTTTTAAAAAATACTTTTGAGCATTTCGAACACCCCTTTGTACGTTTTTGGGTCATCCTGCTTGGTTCGCGAGTTCTATGATTGGATTTTCTTTTTTTTGGCCAACGAGTTCTATGATGGGACTCTACCGGGGGTATGCACAGCTAATTACCTCATTGCCATCAGCGAAGTTTCGTTGAAATTCAAATTCTCACCTACTTAATTAGTACTCTTCCGAATTATTAAGTTAGTTATCATCATAAATATAAGATTTATTTGTTATATTTATTAATTTTTTAAAATTATTTTTATTAATACTTTCTTAATTATAATCAAGTAGGGGAGGAAATAAGAATATTAAAAAAGATGATTATGATATTTTAGAAAAAATATGTCATATTTTTATAATTAACTAACTTACTAAAATTTTTTAATATAATTAAATTAGTTAAATAAATTTTATATTAAAGATTGGATGAGTATTTGATGTGGCATAACATTGATATAAAGGCAATTGTTTTGGATAACACTGGATTTGAATTTTTATAGAAATATAAAAAGTCATGAGTTATAAGTGCTGTTGCTAGATATCATACTATTTATAATTGCTAAATATATTTTGTAATTGCAAATAATGAAGTTTATGATAAATCTAGTATGCATTGTATAGTTGAATGATTGGACAACTTGGACAAGATAAAGAAGTAGGCCTTCCAAGTCATAAGCATAAGGGAGGAAAGTGTCAATGCTCAAGCACATGCCTACAGAGATATATGAGGCATGTGCGGAAGAAAAGTAAGTATATAGAAGGGACAATGAAACTTTTAACCCCTGAAGTTTGCCCCAATTGTTGATTTGGCTCTAGAAATTTAATTTTCACCAATCAAATCTCTTTAACTTATATACTCCTCTGGCTCTGGTCCTATTTATAAGACAGAGAGAAAATATATTTTTTGGTCCTATTTATATGGTAACAAGAGAAATTTTTTGTATGGATATATAATTTTACCCTTAATTTATTATTGTATTGATTTTGTTTACATAAAGTATAATATATATTAAATAAGGATAAAGTTAAAAAGTTGTTGAATTTTAAATGAGAGTTAATAAAATCTAAGGTTTTTCTTAGTAAAACATGTTGAAACTAACTAGATGTAGTCAGAAGATATATACAATTCTAGTTACACGTGTAGTTTTTAATTCAGAAATGATAACGCCTGATGGATTGCAGAAAAAGCTACCAACCCCGTGAGATTACTAAGAATATGAAATTGCGGGTGAAATTTTGTTATATTTTTTCGTCATATTTATATGGTAACAAGAGAAATTTTTTTATATGGATGTATAATTTTACCCTTCATTTATTATTGTATTGATTTTGTTTACATGATGTATAATGTGTATTAAATAGAAATGAATTAAAAAATTATTAAATTTTAAATAAAATTAATAAAATTTAAGATTTTTCTTAGTACGTGCAAAATATGCCGAAAGAAACTAGATGTGTTCTGAAGATATATACAATTCTAGCTGCACGTGTAGTTTTTAATTCAGAAATGATAACTCCTGATGGATTGCAGAAGAAGCTGCCAACCCAATGAGATTACTAAGAATATGAAATTGTCGGTGATGAAAGGACTTGATTGATAAAAATGAAACTTTAAAAATCGAATCAATAACTGAGGCAAATTTTTGGTCAAAATAATTGGGGCAAATTTAAGGACTACAAGTTTCAATGATTCATTAAATATCCTAGCATTTAAAAACTTCGATATGTTTTCCCAAAAGCGCACGCACGTACTCCATGCATCATCATTCCTGTGAGAGAGAAGCTAATAATTATTACATCCGGTTGTAATTATAAGACTTTATTTTTATAGTTTATAAATAAAGTTTTATAATTAAAACTGAAAATAGTATGATTTGTTGGTTAAGAGGGGCAGTTAATTAAGAACATATGAGTAGTTGAGGTGGAGGGCAACGTATCCAAAAGGCACAGCTTGGTATTTGATCAAGAGAACCGAGAATCGTGAGAGATCAGAAGGGGTGCCCAATAAGCAGTGCAATTGGCTCTCCCTAGTTATTTCGTTGGAGTCTAAACAAACGAGCCTACTTGGATAGCAGGAAAAAACATGTTCATTAATCCAATGTAATGTCATATTGCACATTAACTATTACATGCTCTTTTGTACGCAGCGTTTTTTTTTGGCTGGCATATATATTTTTTTATTAGAGATAATCATATTTGAAGCACTATTAAATACTACCTTCGGTCCTAATTATAAGACCCAGTTGACTTATTTGAGGAGATTAAGGAAGTAAGTTAAGTTAGTTATTTGTAATAAATAAGTGTTGTCATTCCTAAAATATCCTTGCTAATTAAGTATATTGGTTATAACTATCATTATTAAAAGGAGTATCTTGGAAAAAAATACATAAATATGAGAGACAAAATGGATTAGGGTCTTATAATTAGGACCAAACAAAAAGTCAAACGGGGTCTTATAATAAGGACCGAAGGTAGTACTAAATATGCGCATCTCTTCCAATGAGAATACATACATCTATTAGCTTGGCAGGTTATTGATCTTTTCTGTAACATACCAAAAAATTAAGCTGAAATGGTATATATGCTGAATTTCTTTTTACATATTGCTCAGTACATTTAATCTCACAACTCATTAGCACTTCTCAGAGATAGGAAACGAAAAATGGAAAAGATCGCCACATGCCAAATCTTCTAGTAATTTAATTGAAAGGAAAGTATCTATTATAAGTACTTTTTTATTAACTTTAGATATTATAGAAACTGGATAATTAATTTACTGGTTTAGAAAAGTAATTGAATTAGTTATTTCTTAAAAATGTATTAATTTCTCTACGATACCCTTTAATCATTTAATCTTTGCACTGAAAACTGTCATAGTATGAAAACTTTTCCTTAACATGTGCAGATAATAAGCATAGTTAATCAGGCCTTCATATCCATCACGCCTATCATCACAGTAGTGTACTAAATTAAAGGACACAAAAAGCGTGGCCCCTCATGCAGCAGAATGCTTGGTTCGGAAACAAGCAATCACGGACTCTCTTTTTTTTTTTTTTTTTCCGTTTTGGTGGTCAAACACCACGGCGGACTCACATCTTAGGGGATATCTAGTACCAAAATGTGAAAAGTAAAAAAAGGGCAGAAGTAAAGGGCTTCCCACGGCCTATGCCGCCATATGTGTATATATATGCAGCACTGTGAAATCACTTAACACGCATGCATATGCTCTGCACTGGCTCTTTCCTCCATATCACTTGCTTGTAGCAACTCTTCGTAAAGTCTAGCGGAGATGCCTGCGAAGCTCTCCATGGCCTCAAAAATTTGCCGCAGGCCTGCTTGTAAACTAGTGCTCCCACCTTTGTCCTCTTCATCACAAATGATATCTTCAGAATGAGAAAGACTATCATTAACTTCCCTGAATGCCGCCACCATTTTCTGCTTTACTTCCTGTATTTGCTTCTGTAGCTTCTGCTCATCTCCCTGTACTACATTTCTCCCAACTTCCCTCTCAAGCATTATTTCCAACCTCTCTTGTTCCCATATCTGAAGCACTCTCCTGCCAAACACATACATACGCTCCACAACTTCCTTTTCAGATATTCTCTCCACGGCTTGGGACCATCGATTGCATATTACAAATACACGAGGAGCTCCCATTCTACCAGGGGAAAAACCACCTACACCCTCTGCTGTTTCTTCCGATTCATACGGCAGACATTTCAGAAGCCAATTATTCAGTGCTCTCACATACCTTTTCTGGGCACCCATCCAGCTAGAGAATTGCAAAGTCCAGTTGATCACCTCTTGTTCAAGTTGCTTGGTAGCTTCATCAGCAATGCCACTCTTCTTCTTGAATGCCATCCAAGCAAGAATTCCGGCTTCTCTC